TATAGACTGTTCAAACATTTGTGACAAATAACTGTAATTAGCTTCCTCACATACTAATGAACATATAAAAATATTTATGTAATTATTTCTTTTGTGCTCTTTTACAAACATATTTAGAATAAAACATTGAAATTAAAATCTGGTACATTATTTAGTAAAAAAATATAGTTTAACCCATAAGTTAAGTAACTTTATAATAGCAAAGAATTTTCATAAAAATATTAGAGCCATCACTTCGGAGACCGCTGTTGGTAAGTCAAATATCATACTGTAAAATTATATACAGTGAGCACCATAAGTCTTACCCCCCCTATCTAACTCGTTACTGGAGTCTTGTTAGGAAAATCGCCGAGACAGGTCGATTTTTGATTTCTACAATGTACATTTTTGTATGACTAGTTTACCCTTAGTTTCATCCCTTACTGGAGGGGAGCAACCCTTTCGAAAAATTTAAATGGCATGGGGTGGTGAGTGATAGCTCATTTGAAAGAGGGTTTTATTCTCTATTCAACCGTGTAAAAAAATTTGAAATTTGCTTCATTAATTATCGACTAATTGTTGTTTCAGAATAACGGAAATTAACGTAGCGCACTCGTCCTTAGAATTAATATTCGGCCCTGCATGACTTCGGTTTTGGTTCAGACGTGAAGTAAGACTTTTTGCCATTAGAAGGTCACTGTTAGTCTAGTTGCTTTCCTATTTTGTGAGATTTTGTTATTTTTAAACATTAATAAATCAACATGTAATGATGCAAATTTCAAAAATTTTTTGCACGGTTGAATAGAGAATAAAACCCCCTTTTAAATGAGCTATCACTCACCACCCCATGCCATATAAATTTTTCGAAAGGGTTTTTACCCTCCAGTAATGGAAGAAATTAAGGGGCTAACTAATCATGCAAAAATGTACATTGTAGAAATTAAAAATCGACCTGTCTCGGCGATTTTCCTAACAAGACCCCAGTAACGAGTTAGTTAGGGGGGGTAAGACTTAAGATGCTCACTGTATATGGCTCTTCAACAGGAAGATTCGCTTTGGATCCGGAAGGCTTTTCTAGTGAAAATGATGATGGAATGAGCCCATCTATATAATGTTTACACCACAAATCACAACAAAAATTAACTGCTGATTCAACAACAAACAAAACTGAAATTTTTATATTACAGCCCAAAGCGTGATGACACGCAAAAATATTAGCCTGCATTTCAGAGTAATTATTTCGAAAAGGTCACAATTTTGTGTCGCATATGACCTTTTCGAACCAAACACACTAAAACGGGTTTCTGGTTAATGCAGGTCTAGGAGCTCTAGTGTGATATTTTGTTCCATTTTCGTACCAAATTGTTCGCGTTCAATAAAATTATATAAAAATCGCATATAAAACGAAAATGGCCGAATTTGTTGTTTGTGCCCTTTTCAAAATAAAATTAATTCTTCTATTTCTGTTATTAAAATTTAACTAGAGTTTGCTGAAACTGTCTAACTTATATTTTGAAACTTTAAGGACTTGTATCTCAAAAATGATCAATTTTAGGATAATAGTGATACATATTGCTGTTTTTAGAATCAGTCACGGCAAAAATGCGTGCAACGCAGGCACCCCTTTAAATGTGGCCCATAGTTTCTGAGAACGTACCTAATCAAACCCAAGTTTACTATGTAATGGATACCGGGACGAGCAGTGAAACCAGAGCGAATAATAAAGTGAATAAGAATTCAAAATTCGGGGCTCTAAACGGAGAACTGCAGAGTTGCTGGAGGGAAGTTGGATCTTAGGGGACAGCAACTTTCCATAAACATGGAATCTGTCTCTAGGGAGAAGATAAAGGAGAAGCAAGAAATACTCTCCCTGAATTTCTCCAATATCTTCATAAAGAAATTGGAGGAAAGACGGAACGAACTATTCATGCTGCATCAGAAACTTCTCAGGTAAAAGAAACTCATACTGAGGGAGAACGCATACCAGAGGACAATCAGCCCTTGATTGCAGAACCAACCGAAAGTGTGTCTACAGAACCAGTGGCTGAGGCTCCAATGAAAATAGGGAGCTCGGAATCCACAGCATATGAGCTAGGTGAAGAGGAAGAGACGACCCTTTTAGATAACTCACCGCTGTTTGTCCCGGCTTCGCCCAATGCCTAACGGTAGAAGGGCCGGCTCTTCGAGCCTCTACTTTATTTCTGTCTGACCCGGCTTCTGTGCCTGAAGAGGAGGAGGACCGTATATCAAGAACTACAAGGTACCTTTAAAAAAATATGAAGGTAATTCAAGCTAATATACACCACTGTTGGGCGGGAACAGCCGTCTTACAATGATGTATAAAAACATTGATCTTGTTATAATCCAAGAACCTTTTGTATACAAGAGACGAATTAGAGGGTTGTATAGATCACATATAGATGACATGATTCACTCAATGTCTAGGCATTATTGCAAATAAAAGCATGAATGTGTTTCCACTATAGGAATTTTGTACAAATGACCTAGTGACAATATCCCTCAAGCTAAATGGAGGAAAGAAAATTTTATTGTTGGATCCGTTCTATCTTCTGGTTAGTCACTGCGAAAAAACAAAAAACAAAATCGAACTTCTCCTGGGGTGTGATGCAAATGCTCACCATATAGTATGTGATATTAATAACCGAGGAGAAGCTCTTCTAGAATTTATTGCTTTCAATAAACTAGAAGGGACAAACGTTGGAAATGAACCAATCTTCGTAACATATATGCGAAAGAAGATAATTGATATAACCCTTGGTACACAACGGGCGTGTTCGTTGGTGGGGAAGTGGCATGTCTGAAAAGAAGCGTCACTTTCCGACCATAGGCATATCTTCTTTAGTCTGGGTACAGAAACTTCGGGTAAGAAGACATATCGTAATTCTAGAACTTTATTTGGAGGACTTTCAAGGAGAAACTCAAGTAGGGACTGGAAGACTGTCCTCCGACATCGAAAAACTCAGTGGAAGTTGAGTTTATGTCAGAATTTCTGACACAAACGTTAATCAACACGTTTGAAAAAACTGCCCTATCAAAATAAGTAAAGTGGTTTGAGATGCTGTATGATGGAATCGACACCTTTCCAAAAAAGAGCAAAATTTCGTATACTCTTTAACCTAGCCAAAAAGTCGGGAAATTGGGAAGCGTACAAGGCGTACTGGAGAGAATATGGTTATGCCATTAGGAAAAATCCATAGAAAATTCCTGGAAGAAATTCTGTGACGCCATTGAAAGCCTTCTAGAATGTTTCAGACTCAGGAAAACTCAGGAAACTACATTTAATACCAAAGTCACACTTTCCTGGATGTGAGAATATCCTCAACCAAAAGAACAGGACCGGGGCACTAGTTCCTAGGGCCTCAAAAATAAACTGGTCTTTTGTAAACACAATAGTATCAACAGAACAGATAAATTCCTTTCAATCATACAATACAGCTGGACCTGATGGTATATTCCCGGCACTTCTTCAAAAGGGCCAGGAAGTACTGAGTGACCACTGTGTAAACTATTTCAAACTAGCATAGCCTTTTGATATATTCCACAAAGCTGGAGTTCTGCAAGAGTTGTCTTCATTCCCAAACCTGGAAATACATCATACGCGGAGACCAAATAAATATTTCAGACCAATCAGAAATTGATCAATAGATACATATGGGACGATATTCTACAGGATAACCCGTTACATCGATACTAGTTTGCTTACCAATCTGGAAAGTCTTGCGATGCAGCCATACATAAGCTAGATCAAAAGGCTGAACAAGCATTGGAAAGCAAAGAAAGTGGGATGTAAAAAATTATTTTTTTCTACACCCACATGGATATTAGCTTATCTACGCACAGATTACAAAACGAAAAAGTATGCTATTGCCTTCAACTGAACGAATATATTTCATATCCATTCTAGATAGTGAGAACACTGCAAAAAAATGAAATCCACCAATCACCGTTCATATTTTGATCAACCGACTGCTATTATTTTTAAAATTTTAAATAAGTGACAATTCTGTCAAACTAATTGTCAGTATTTTTTAGTTATTGAGATTAAATGTACATTAAAATGGGTTATTCGTGTGTAGAATCGATAAATAATAGCATTTCTATTTTTATTGCCTTTAGTCATTCCCTTTTTTAGCATATTTTTTTGAATAAAAGGCCCATAAATCCGAAGAATTTTCAACTCAGGGGAGGGGGGGGGGGCATGGCCCCCCATGCTCCCCCTTGTAATATATAAATATAATTTTTGTAATAAAATAACGAATGCCCCTTTTTCCGCTCCTTCATAAAAATATGACAACGTTGTTCGACATAAATTTGACATTTTTAGGTCGCACCGTCTATTTAAGAGTACGTGAACTGTTAATGTAATGTTGGTTGCGGTAATATAGTTCAAATTACGTTAAAATTAAATAATTTTCTGCTGGAAAGAACTTGTAAATGAAAGAAAAAATAAAATATTTTTATCTGGAGCCTCTAATGGGAATATATTCTATTTTCTGAAATAGTTTTTATAGCGATTTTTGATGACTTTTTAACATGTAAAATTTTCACAATTCCGTTCTTTTTTCCATTTTCTCAATTTTTTTTTCACTTTTCAATATATTCAGAAAATAGTTTGATACCATTAGAATATTATAAAAGCAAATTCGCGTAGATTTATTGTCTATTAAGCCGGTCTTACATGTTTGAAAAATTCTCTTATGCTAATAGTTACATTTGATAACGCCGCCTTGTTTACTAATCGGCTTATGTATGTGCCACTATGTGGTATGTTTTGTGAAGACGTTTTACACAGAACCTGTATAACACTAGCAATGTTGAAAACCAATTATTTTTTTTTATGTTAATTCAAAATTGAGTTTCATTTTTTTTTTTAATCGTAACATAATAGATATTAGCTGTAAACTTCAATAGGAAAAGACAATCAAAATGTCACTCTGTCAAAGAAGAAGTAGAATTTACAAATTACAAACATTCCATAGAAAAACATTCTGAATCAAAACAAAAACAAACCATCTAGCCGTTTTAAATTTGTGTGTGTTGTAATTTTTAATTTTTAAAGCTCATTTATGTATATAACTTTAAGAAACTCCCTCAGTTTATTACCAAATATGTTTATTTTAAACGAACGAAACTGGTCATGATATATAAACCTTCAAACTCAAAGGAAAGATGGAAAAATCGTTTGCACAAGTTCGTAAAGAACTGGACGATTTAGGCTACACGGAAACTTTAAAACCAGAATGTTTACCTTTGGTAAGAAGGCTTCTGGGCGATTTAAAAATCACCACAGAAAGCCTCCGAAAATACATGAAAATATCACAGCAAGCTTTAGAGGTTAGTTTCCTACATAGAAACAAAAGAACTTTAAAATCCTGTTAGGAATCTTCATTTTCGATATTCTATTTTATATTATTGAATTTGGCAGATATTTAAGTTATATTTTATATTATATTAATTTTTAGGAACGTGACAATTTAAAATTTGGTGCTGAACCTTACAAGTGTGATAACGCCAAACTTATAAAGGAGTGTAACGAATTACATCTGGCTTTTATAAAGTTTAAAGAACAACATGAAAAAGTGCAAAGAGGTAAATATACAGTCTTTGTTATAAGTTGTTTGTTTAATAGTTTGTTTTAGATTTAAGAGGTAAGGTAGTGTCTTTAGAGAGCCAGTTGACAGATTGTGGCATTGAAAAGCAAAAGCTTAAGTTGAAAGTTCAAGAATTAGAGCAAGATTTAAAAGGACCAGCTAAAAGAGGTATTTAAATGAAAATCGTAAATATTTGAATACCATTTCTGTTATTTTTTTTATATTTTAGTACCACAATTAAGGCCTAAAAGTCAAATTACTATTTCTAAAGCAAAAACTGATATAAATAAAAAAGCTCAAGCTATTATGGCCACTAGTGATTCAAAAATGACAAAACTTAGTGAAGATATTAGACATTTAAAAGATGAGCAAATACAACTTTTAAAGAATAACGATTTTTTGATGTTACAGGTATTTACTAATATACAAAGTTTTTATTATAGCTAGTGTTTTAATGGGGTTGTTTTAGTTGGAAAATAGGGACCAAGAGATTAAAAGACTGGCTAGTTTACTGGAAGGTGGACGACCAACCAAGGCTGTAGTTAATGATTGTTGTTACAAAAATATAGATAATAAATTTGGAACATTGCAGGATGAAATTACTAGTTTAAAAAGAGAAAAAACCGCACTCCAAAACCAGTTAACAGGTAATTAGTTTTATTTAAATCTTTCTTGGTCTTCATGTGCCTCATTTAAAGTCAGACAAATCAGTTCTTTTTCCTCTTCTACTGGAAGTTCAGAAACTTCTATAGCCTTATTATAAGTCAGTTTTAAATTTTTGTTTGCTTTACTTTCTTTAATTTTATGTATATCATCATCACTAATGTTTAGTACCTTTTTAACAAAATCTGTAAGTTTGCAATTATCGCTAATTCTACATTTGGGTATTCTATGACCATTATTAGTTAACAAGGTGTCTAAAGATCTAGTTGGAACCACCAACGGTTTCAAATGGAGCATCATGTTTGTAAATGTAGCATCTGTGATCAAGTTGAAGGTTTCAGTAGTTTGTAATAGTTGTGATTTGGTTTTTTGTGATTTGGGATGTTTTAATTCTTTGTAATAGCTTAAGATTAGAAACCAGGCGTACACTGGTGGCCCGTGGTCTATAAATTGTGCAAAAATAAAATCTACGCAAATGGAATGTATGCCTTTTTGAACTAAACAAGTATAACAACCTACATACATTGTTATGAAGATTGTTAATATGGATCTTAAGAATCCTACAAATAACCAGGGTAAGAATAAATGTGGGTTATTTTCACATATAGCAGGCCAGAAGTTTATAACATACAAACATAAAAATAATCTTGATGTATACGCCCTCACGAATATTACAAATGCCAGTAAATACTTTGAAGATTCAGGTACTTGCTTTTCTTTGACTCCATTTTCTCCAAGCTTCCATAGTTCTTCTAAATTCGAGGTTAGCTCTGAAGGAGTGTAGTCATAACTTAAGGCCCAAATGGCTATAATTATAATAAAAAGCACTTCTATTTGCTTTTTGATTTGAAAGTGATCACATATCATTTTTTATGAAAATATTTAAGATAATATGTATCCTTTGAATGAAGGATTTTTGACTGAAAATTTTCATTGACACTGAGGTATATAAATAGACACTACTATTATTGCAAAACACTTTAACCTCACAAAATGATACTGATAAACTAGTGTTCATCTCACACAACGTTGCTTATGAATCAATAGGGATTGCTCAATGCTTTGAATCAGGCCCAGGTGGCTACCTGGTGATTGGCCTTCGTTTATAGGGGCCCCAGAAACACAGAGAATAAAAATAACTATGTTTGGAAAGATTTTACTATATACTATGTAAATTTATTACTACAAAGTTGTTTATTGAATGTGCATTATGTGCAGTATTTTTATAATTTTGTGCAATTCATTTAGTTTATATGGAGTGGCCCAAAAGTCTGGAAACGGCCAACTATCTCGTAAATTGCTAGTTCTAATTGTACAAAATTTGGGGTACACCTATTTTGGGATAGGGAGATTCCAGATTTGATATTTGCAATGTTGCCAGATTTTCAGTTTCTCTTATATTATTAGTCACTTTGGTTTTTCAAATTGATCACCCTGTATATTAAGTCATTATTGGAATCTCCTATTCAATACGAGTTCAACCATATGCAACACTTATGATTTTATGTAGTCTGGAAGGTCCTAAATAAATAAAACAATCATGGAGAAATGTGGTAAATGCACTCTATCATCGATTAGGGTGCTGTCAACTCACAAATGAAGCACATTTTGAACACTTGATAAAGTAATCATTATGTTAAAAATGGTGTAATCTTTTAATTGTTACGTTTTAATGTAGTTGAAAATAGTTTGTATTAAAAAATTTATGAGACAAGTAGGCGTTGCCAGACTTCTGTTTTATTTATTTAAGACCTTCTAGACTACATAAAATCATAAGTGTTACATATGGTTGAACTCGTATTGAATAGGAGATTCCAATAATGACTTAATATACAGGGCGATCAATTTGAAAACCCAAAGTGACTAATAATATAAGAGAAACGGAAAATCTGGCAACATATCAAATCTGAAATCTCCGTATCCCAAAATAGGTGTACCCCAAATTTTGTACAATTAGGACTAGCAATTTACGATATAATTGGCCGTTTCCAGACTTTTGGGCCACTCTGTATATTATTTTCCTATAATAATAAACAAATGTACGAAAAGTAAAAGTAACCATTAATGTCTCGTTCCACTGGGGTTGCTTCATACCCCTATGTAAGGGACCCCCTCCCCCCAATGTGATAAATACCCAGAGGCCTGCTTTGTATACCATCGGAATTATTCGAAAAATAATTTTTACTGGAGAATGAAATCTCCTATTTTTTATTTGTCCTGTTTATACACTGAATTTAAAAAAAAAATCATAAAAAGTGATTTTAAAACCAGAGCTAAAAAGTAGGAGATTTAATTCTACATATTTTTCCAAGTATCCCGCCAAAATATTTCTAAATTTTATTGCGTATTTTTCAAATCTAAGTGGAAATACGATTAACAAATATTTGATGAATTTAGATGTCATCATAAAAAACAATGTAGCTACTCTGTTTTAGAGATGGTTTTAATAGGTGAATGATTGTTTAGAGGTACTAATTTTTGAATAAGTGATACAGTTGTATGTCGTCTTTTATTGTTTCGTGATTTTCATATATATTTGTCTCGCTTGGTTCCAATTACAAAATTATCGATTTATTTTCCCCATGTATGAAAAAGTGTTGCCCACGTTGCCAGATTATCGATTTATATGATAATTTCACAATTCGTCCTAGAGGACGAATTTCATTTTAAAGTGGGTGAAATATACAATGTTGAAATCCAGGAAAGGGAAGGAACTTTATTGTATTCTGGCATCACTGTATGATACGCACGTAATATTTGCGGACTTGGCTTTCTTCTTCTGAATGTTATTTAAAAAATATTACAGGTCTGCCAAACAATTAAATTTTTATGAAATTGGAGAATGATGCAGACCCCAAATAAAATTATCATAATTTAGGTAGGATTACATTGATTTCAAAATTGTTTAATATACTGCGACTTATAGCACATTAAGATAACGAATAGTAGTGATAGAGCTGGATTCTTTTATAAAACATGTCTTAAATATGGTTACTTTTAAGTTCAAATTACTCAATTTTTTCAAAAGCAGCACCCGGTATAATATTTTAGCATACAATTCCTTATAAATTTGCATATCCAACGATACCAACATGCAAGAGAATAACATATACAGAGTGCCCCATCAGTGCGCAATTGATCAATAGCTATTTTATTATTGGAAATAAGAATAAAAAATAATATAAAAGTTGTATGACCTTATTTAAAAATTATTCCCATATATACAGGGTGGTTCATAAACGAGATGTTGACCAAACCTATACATTTTTAAAGCATAACACCCTGCAGGTAGTTATACATACTTGATTGTTTTCACGTCGTCAAATAATTTTATTTGACTTCATTCATTTGCTATGTTATATATAGGGTGTGGCAACGCGAGGTTACAAATGTTTAAATTTTTTTCAATGGAATACCCTGTATTAATTAATTGGTGGCATAACATACAGAGTGTTTCATTTAGAAAATTGAGAAAATCGTAACCATTTTGACACGCCCTATATACAACAAAGCAAATGAATGAAATTGAAATGTTCGACGATGTGAAAACAATCAAATATGTATAACTACCTGCAGGGTGTTTTGCTTTAAAAATGTATAGGTTTGGTCAGACAATCGTTTATGGATCACCCTGTATATTTATGAATAATTGTTTAATTTGTTCATACAACTTTTACATTAATTTTTTTCGTATTTCCTATTATAAAACTGCTATCGATCAATTACGCACTCATGGGACACCCTGTATATATGTTATTGACTAACATATTGATATCGTTGGATATGTAAATTTATAAGGAATTGTATGCTTAAATAATATACAGGGTGTGGCATTTGAAAAAAATTAAATAAATTTAACTTGGAATTAGCCATATTTAAGACTTGTTTTGCAAAACACTTTGTATAAAATAATCCAGTTCTATCACCACTAATCGTTAGCTAAAAAATTGAAATCATTGTAAACCTACCTAAATTATGATAATTTAATTTGGGGTCTGCTTCGCCGCCACCAGAAAATTTCAATCCATACCTGGCTACGCCGACCGGCATATACACCAACGGCCTGAACACAGCTCATCTACTCTGCGCATACGACATGCGCACTACAAATCGTTAGTGTTGTCCCCGATACGCGAGTGTATTACCAAAGCATTCTAAAACAAGTAAAATACAGGGTTTTCTATTTAAAAAATACCTTTTTATTTGTCAGACAAAGACGCAAAACCCTGTATGTCTAAAAATATCTTTAAAATACCTATTTTTGAAATTCATATAACTTTTATTTAGAAATTGTTTACGTGTCTATAACACAAATTGAAATATTGAACAATTACGCATTAATGGGACAACCTGAATATATTATTCACAATATATGCATGCGGCATATGTTTGTAATAATTTAATCCCGCGCCGCGTTTATATATTTTATTCACGCTTTTATTAGATATTGTAGTTTACCTAAATATTTCTTAAACTACTTTACTCTTAAAACGTAAAAACAGACTTCAATTTTTAGAAAAACTACTTCGGCTCATCAGACCCGACCACAACATTTGCTTCGGCAGTCAACGTGTTTTAAATGCTTTTTTATTAATTTGTTATTTAATTTGTATTTAGTTATTAATATTTCAAAAATGGTTATTTTTCTTATTGATTAATCTAAAATACACACGTAATTTTTATTAATAATTGAAAATAGTACTGTTATTCTGAATTTATAAAAAAAAGTGAAAATATGAAAATATAAATTACGACTCTGTAAATGAAGTAAAATTTTATGATTAAGTTCTTTTTTCTTACAAAAACATTGTCTCAGCAATGTCATAAGTTGCATATGTCTATGTAAGTTGACAGCATATAGAAAACTTTTTTATTATTCATTTTACGAAAAAAAGTTATTCTTCATAAAAATTTATGCATGATCTAACAGAAAATGCAACCACCCGATCTCAACTTTTATCAGTCGGTTTTACAAGGTTTGTCAAAAAATATGATTTTGCTCAAGATAAAATACATTTATTTTCGACAAACCCTGTATACGACTGATAAAATTTGATATCAGATGATTGAAACTTAGGTTTTAGACCATGCATAACTCTTTATGTAAAGTAACTTTTTTCTAAAATTAATAGACCATGCAATTGTTTATGAAAAATAAGTTTTTTTCTTAAAATTCTTAAAAAAGTTTTCCGTATGCCGCCAACTTATATATAAATGAGTTTAAATTTTTTGAAAATAATTTTTACTGATGCAGATCTAAATAAAGTATTTTGGGTAAATAAGGTAATAAAAACACTTTTTTATTACATTTTTCTTTTTCTTATTTGGTTCTTTGGCTGTAAGACCTTTCGGTATATAAAGATTCCATTAAGAATGGGAGCAACTAAAGATTAACTTATTAGAAATAAGCCGATTAAACGAAACATCCGTAGGTAAAACAGTACTCGTTTCCGAAAAACAGGGTTTTAAAGTTGAAAATCAAAAATTATGAATAGCTACAATTTTTTTATTACTCAGTTTAATTTTACTAAATTCGGAAAACGTTATTGGTGTAATAAAACACACCTATCAACAAACAAATAAGTTAAATAAGCTTTGCAGTGGAGTACGTCATGGGCAAGTAACATCTTTTTCCCTTCTAAATTTTAGTCCACTGTCCAAAAATTTTTAATGTTTTTCAAATAAAGTTGATTTAGTTTTTGAGATATTCCCACATATTTGAAAATTCTGAAATATTTAAATATCGATTTTTTTTATTAAATTTCTAAGAGTACATTATTTATTTAAAAAACAAAAAAAATTAAAATTTTATGTCCAAATAACTTTTTGGATAGTGACGTAAAATTTAGGAGGGATGCGGTATTACGTACCAATGCTGTACGCCATTGGAAAAGTTAATTAAGGTAACTAATTTTTTTGCTGATAGGTGGATATTATGACACCAAAAACGTTTGTCAAATTTAGTAAAATTGTTGTGAGTAATAAAAAAATATAGCCATAAATATTTTTTGGATGTTAAAACCGTAATTCGGAAACGAGAAACATTTTATCTAAGCATGATTTGTTTAGTTGTCTCATTTTTAATCAGATAATCGTCATTTGTTCTATGTCCCATTCTTAACGAAACACCATGTATAGTATAATAGGTCCCTACGTAATGATACAAAGACCTTTGTCCTTTGTTGACTGGACACAAGAATGAACTACTAAGTAAATATACCGATGTCCTGAATCTAATCCAAAACTTTTGTTTAGATACCTGCTACATTGAAAATATTTGTCAAGGTCAAGAACTCGTTTACTTATCATCGCGTAGTGGCTAGGGGTGATGAATTTGTTATTTTATAACAGTTACCGTTTAGAATTAATAAAATTATTACGCCATCTGTTGAACAAAAGAACTATTAAATATGGAATATTGCTCCATCTGTTGAACAAAAGGATTCATAATTTATGACACATAAATGACATCTATCAAAATTAGTTCATGTTACAAATATTGGGGGTGGTACTGTGGCCTTAAGTTAATACGAGTAATTAAAAGAAGGTTGCTGGAAAATATAAAAAAAAATTGAAACCACTGTTATTAGTAAATTTAAAAATAATAATAATATTAGGGGGTGGGTGGCTCAGTGGTAGAGTCTCTGCCTATGGATCCAAGGGACCCAGGTTCGAATCCCACAGTTGGCCGGAATTTTTTCATTTAATTTAATTATTTAAAATTAATTCTGATGCCTTGGTAGGATTCCCCACTCGACCATTCACTGTTGGGTTCTAATTAACAGTGCTGTTCCTAAAGTGGCGCTGGGAAACAGTAACAAAGCCTACACAGAACACGAGGCGAAATAACCTTAGCAGTTGAAGCCGATGACACACAAAAAAAAAATAATATTTATTGCTTCTAAACCTGATTTACAGCAATGAGTACAGACATAAAAAATTATTTTGATTTTCATAGCGCCTCAATTTATAGCTAAAAAATCAATTAGCTCACTCGGACCAATTGCATGTTCCAAAATAACATCCACTCCAGGGATACAAATTCAGGATGCGCAGAAGACTGCTGGTTGAATATAGGCGGTTGTCATATATTGTATTAGGCATTCCAAACAAATGAACGGCCAGTGGGAAGATTTGATATATCCAATAAGGGTTGCGACATACGATGTGTTCTGTTTACAATATTTTGTCAAACACAATAAAAATAATAACAAAAATAAGACATTTTTTCATAAATTGGCAGGCTTCGCGACTATTATTTCAAAAAAAATGCGTTCAAGATGCAAGACTATGTCTCTACCCCCTTAGTATACCAGACCTTCTCACTGACAGCTATTGTTTGACAGATCGTTGAAATGTCTAATTGGTTATAGTAAGAGAGCCACTGCAAATTACGACCGCCATCTGATAACAAAGTGAAATATGCTCCAGAGACATGTAACAACATTGTACCTACTTTACCAAATTGCACCTGTGCCAATCTGTAATCCTGAGCAAAGTGGTTAAAAAAATTATTTTATATTCAAAAAATCACATAAGACATGACAGCGATAATTGTGTTTTCCCTGAAAATTACAATCCTAATTCATTGTGAACCTAGCTTTTAAACCTGAATTATTAATATTTTTACCTACCTTCTGCAGAGATAGGCAATAATAATTATAAACTCTTGTTAGACAATTCTTTTAAACCATAATCATAGTAGTTTTTTTTGTCGTTTCTATGGCAATCTGTAAATCACAACAATAGGCATACAAATAAATTTTTAAATCAGCAAAAATTGATTCATATTTCTAATGATTTTTACATACTAATCGTGTGTAGATGTTTTTGTGCGATGTTAAGAGGAAGAAAATGTTTCCCGTTAGCGATATATATCAAGATATATTTGAATATGTTATCATCCGAAAAAATTTAAGGGCAAACAAAATTAGCGCTGTCATGCCTTATGTGATTTTTTTAATGTATTTTTTTTTAATCACTTTGCTCAGGATTGGGATTGTCACAGGTGCCATTCATTCGGTAAAGTACAATGTTTTTACAAGCCTTTGGGGTATATTTTATTTCATTATCAGATGGCGGTAAAAATTTGCAGTGTGCGCTTGGGCTATTATGATTTGATTCTGTATGCGCCAGGGATACAAATCCGAGTTGCGCAATGTATAAACTGGAACATTGAAATCAAAAGTGCCGACGCAGAGTGAGCAAACTGATTCTTTAGATATAAACTGTGACAGCGCTAAGTTTGCTATTAAAATGTTCAGAAATATTTTCTTTATACCCTGAGTATGGCCCTGTATCTGTTGCTTTAAATAAATGCGTTTCTTGTTTTCCCGTTGTAAAGTTTTTTGTTTGTTTATCGTTGGATTCGTTTGTTTCTTTGTTTTTTAAAGTATTACCATTTTTGTTTGATTGACTATTTGTAATACTGCTAAAAATGTTTTCGAGATTAACTGTATCCCTTACTTTCTTTCCCGGTGAACTGTTTTTTGTTTACTACCTGATTCGCTGTCAATTTCCATGTCATTTTCAATTCGTTGTTCACTCCTGCTAAATCCTATAAATTCATCCTGTTTTCCAGGATCTGGTGGCTCACCATCACTCTCAGCATTCATAATCTTATTCCGATTTTATTTTAGTTTTAGCTGTATTAAATTTTAAATATTTAATACAAAATAATAAAAACTAGTACCGGATTCCTAATCGCCGTTCAATTGCACCTCCGCTCGGTGTGAATATGTAACTGTAACTATAAAATTTGCTTAACTTTTCAGAATCTTTATCTAAACAGCATGAGGCCATGAGAAGAGCTTTAAGTCTGGCAGAACGAAACAAAAATTTGGAGGAAGAATTGAAAGATATTGACAAAATCGCCTTGTCAGTGGAAGCCGAATGTAACACCACTGTTAAATCTAACTTTGAAAAAGTTACAAGGTCAGTAAACAATATTCACATTAAACGATTTTTTTTTGTTTATTTTTATTTATTGTAGACTACAGGATAAAGTCAACGAATCCCAAATACAAATACAAAATTTAGAAATGAGCATTTATAAGTTAAACATTGAAAAAACCGAACTTTTAACTGAGCTTGATAGCGTTAAATTAGAAAAGAAAAAATTGCAAGCGATATTAGATTCGGAATCTGACGAAAAAAAGAGATTGACTGATCGTTTAAATAATTTTACAATAATAGGTAATAAAAAAAAATTATTTAATCGCTAAAGATACACACAAATATTTTTATTTTTAGAACAAGATTTAAATTTAGAAATCGATAGGTTACTGCGACTTTCTAGCGACCAGAAACGTAGAATTTCAGAATTAGAATCTGATTTGACAGCTGAAAAAGTAAGCCCACAATATTATTTTTTTTTGTTTTAATTCGATGGAAGCGCCCTTACTATAAAAAATTACCATTATTTTATTAGTATAGGTGCTTACACTAAACTTAACAAAATATTTTTTTTTAAATTTCTTCTTATTGAAGAGACTATTTCAAGAGACTGAAAACACTTTGAGAAAACATCGACCCAGCTCGGACACTGCCGCCAAAACGAAATCTAGCAGTAACATTAAGCACAAATCGAGTTGCAGAAAGGGTTTAAGCGCCAGAGATGATCCAGAAAGTAAGATAAAAACTAAGAGAGAACATTCTCCTCCTTCTAAGGAAAGATCGGGTGGCAAAGGAATATCTTATGATCTGAAAATGAAGTCGAAATGTTGTTGCGAAGCTGGAGGGTGCATTAAATGGATGAAAGAGCTTTTGGACAAAGAAATCGAACTTAGACAAGAACAAGCTACCCAACAAATAGACGCACTTCGTAACGAGAAGGAATTTTATATGAAGGAGTATCACAAATTGTTAGAACGACCCAAATCTACGCCATCGTCATCTGATAAGTCATCGAAGGTAGATAGATTAATAAATTTCGCACAAATATTATTTTGATATTTAACTTTTAGCAACGCGATGATTTGCTGAATAGAATCAAAGAAAAAGACCAAATTATCGCTACTCTTCAAGACGATTTGAAGAATCTTACCAATGAAAAGTATGCGCTGACTTCGAGATTGGAGGCTCAAAGTAGGGAAATGTCAACTACGGATTTCGATGATATTTGCACGAAAGTATGACGCTTTAAATTTTTTATTTCTTCTATTTCTGTACATATATATTTTTTATTTTAGACGACATGTAAAAGAAGAAATAGAGAGTTGGATGTGCATAGGGAGGAGGTTAAGCATTTAGAAAGGGAAAACAACAGTTTGAAAAGCAAAATTCAGGTAATTATATAAAAAACAACTTATGATTTAAAATTACCTAATCACTATTTTAATATGTGGTTTTCAAAAAAATTATTTCGATATTTTATCTTTATAGTTTCTCCAAATTTGAAAATAAATGAATGATTATTTAAAAATGATGAGGTGCTAAAACTAACTGAAAATCAGACTAAAACTAACCAAAGTTTTAAAATTCTGTCTTCAAATAACTATTTCTACATTTGTTTTTTATTATTTTATCCATATTTTAAAATCAAAGTCAACTAAACCAAACTCCTAAATATCTTAACTTTTCATTTTGGCACCCCTAAATTAAAAATTAATTAAGATTTTGATATGCGGTCTTCAGAAAAGTATTTCTACATTTCCTTTTTACAGTGTCTCTAAAGTTGAAAGTAAAAGAAAGATTATGTAAAAAATTACGAAATGCTTAAACAAACTGTGCCAAGTGCCTGTAAATCCAACATTCGCCTTTGACCACTTCAAAATTTAAAACTAATCATATTGAAAATTCTGTTCTCTTTTTACATTTATTATCTTTTATCTTTTATTATCTTTTGTCAACATTTCAAAATCATGAAACGAGTGTTTTCCAAATAGCGAGCTGTCAAAGTTAACGGTGCCATATTTTAAAAATATGGCACCTTCTCAATATAAAATTAATCTATATTTTGATAGCACTTGGAAAAGAGATGCGAGTTTTGGTATGCTGATTCTGTAAGGATAATTTCCTGACCGTAGCAGACTTTTATATAAATAAAAATTTTTCCTTGGTGTATTCGGTCATTAATAAAATTAATGACCGAATACACCAAGGAAATATTCTAAACCAAAATATAAGAGGAGGATCACTTATGCAAATAAATCCAAAGCTAAAAATGCGAAAACAAAACCCGCCCCGCATGAACGATCCCCGAAATGATGCTCTACACGTCAGTATCCCTTTCAATGATTACGAACTTCACATTATTTTGATATACAGCCACCCACATGCTTCAACCGACGATTTTATCTTCAGAATGGCAGGAAGATTCAAATATGTTGTGCTAATTGGTGACTTCAACCACCGCTCTCCAGGCAAATTAAAACAGATTCAAACTTTTATGCATAACACAAACTTTATTAAAGCGGATACTCCCCCTACTTTTTTGATGCCCAACAATGAGGACTCCACCCCAGATTTTTTAATGTACACTGACAATCTTAGCAACGCAATCAAGAATATAGAAGTAATCCCCGACATTGAGGCAGACCACCATTCTATAATGTTTACTATCGAGCAAGGAATGCCCTCTCCTTTTGCAGACCCACCTCTTAAATATCATTTCAATAAATTAAACATTGAAAAAATAAATAAAGAAGTAAACCAACTAATTTCAAACAACACTAATATTACTACCAATGAAGTCAATAACTTCCACACAAAGGTCTCTAAGATTATCACAAACAACACATCAAAAACTGCAAACAAATACAGGCAAAACCTAGTCGGGAAGTCAAAACAAACATCAACAACTTTAACAAAGACATTTAAAAATTAGTAAAACAATTTCAGCAACACGCATGGCTACAGACCTGCCAAGAAATCAATCGAGAACAGGGAAGAAACTTCTATCATAAAATAAATAAACTGTCAAAATATAAAACAAGGAATAAAATTTACAGACAATGATATAGACTATGTCACAGATGAGGAAAGGCCGATGCATTCAAGGAGAACTTCATTAAAACATATAACGGAACGAAAGACCCATTTTTTGAACAAGAAAACTGGAATAATGTAAACTCATGGTGCAAACAATATTTTAGAAACAACCCAATCAATGAGGAAGATAACACAGAATTCGAGAAGGAAAAATACTTTCAAATACTATCCAATCAGAATAACTCAGCTGCAGGATCGGACATGATCCCATGAAAAAACTAGAATATAATATACATATCTATATTATAAAAATGTTTGTATTCTGTTACAAAAACTCATTCTTTTCAGATTATTGGAAATAAGGCACCATCATAGTTATCCCAAAACCAGGCACAGACCACAAAAGAATTGATAATTACAGACCAATCACCCTTCTTCCGGTTTGGGGAAAACTATTCGAAAAAATTATTAAGTAAACGAACGAATTCCGCAATTCCAATTTGGGTTCAGAGAACAAATTTCCGCTCTGGTACCAACCACTCTGCTAGTTTCTCCGCTCCTTTACAACATATATTGCTTTGATTTTCCTTTAGGTCAATTACACCTCAATGCAGTAAATTACACACTCCAATACGCAGATGACACGGCCTTGATATCGCATGGAAATACGCGGAATCAAACTATCACAGCACTACAAAATCAATATAACGAAGTTGCTCAATGGCTCAATAAATGGAGATTACGAGTTAACCCACAAAAATGTCAATTAATGATACCCTATCATGATCTAAGACCGACATCACCTACACTCATCATATCTAACCAACCAATCTATCCCGTATCCTCAGTGAAATACCTAGACCTTATTATTGATAATAAGCTGAACTTCAATGAACACACCCACAGACAAAAAACTAAAATCAAAACCAGAGCCAAACATTTCCGCTCTTTAACATACAAAAAAGAAGGTATCAACATCTACACTTATTTAAAATCTACAAAACAATTTGCAGACCTCTCCTGGAATACGGTCACACTATATATTTAAACTGCCGAAAACCTGCATTAAAAAACATTCAAGTGGCCGAAACTTCTACACTAAGAATCATTACCAAGATGCGACATCTTGAAAACCCCACTCACCATCTAGTGAATAAATATCTTTACAAAAAAACTAAGAAAAAATTTCTCGAAGAAACGAAACAATCACATACTAATAAACATTTTTTCGATGCAACGACAAATTGGTCAAGCAAAGTTTAAATACCCAGTGAGATCAATAATAGAAATTTGACAATGAACAATAATTAGTGACACATATTGTCATTTTTTTTACGTATCTTAATATCCGTATTCATCGCACACATATAGCTTGTAAATCCTCATACATACCATACAAATTGTACTGGCTGAAGGACCTAGGTCGATGGCCATTTGGTTGTAATATTCATAACCAATAAAGTGCTTTTAGCATTATTTATTCCCCATTGTTTTTTTATAGGTACTACAAATTCAAAAGTATAAGAACGATATTATAAAATATGATGAGGTGCTAAAATGAAATATGTCAAATTCCTTCCACAACGTTCGATTTTGACGCCCTTCCAATTCAAAACTAACAAAAATATTAAATACTTTCTTTAAAAAAACTATTACTAGATGTGTTTTTTTATCATTTGACAAAATTTGAAAATCATGAAACGACTATTTTTAAAATGACGAGGTACCAAAGTCAATTTTGCCAAATTCCGTCTTTTTAAGGCTGATAAAATTAATAAGTAATTTTTTTCGAATTGTTTTTTTTTTTTCTATTAATTAATTTTACCTACTTATTCAGAAAATTTTTGAATTTATCCATCCTTCTTAGCATGCCTCTTTCAGTAAATTTCAGGTCTTCATTAATTTTTGTGACATAAATTCGAATTTTCAGTCCTTGAGCGAAACGTCTCTCTTCAACGAAGAAAGAATGAAAAAAGCTTTCCAAGAGATGGAAGAACATATAACCAGACTGGAAAACGAAAGAAGAGACCTGGTTATATCCCAAGGCACCAACAGATCGAATGTATCCCATTTGGAAGACGAATGTAGAATTCTAAGAGAAAAGCTACAAATAGCCCAAAAGGAAGCCAACACTCAGAAGGCCAACTACGAACAATTGAAGTAAATTATTTTTACAGTGGGGCGATACTTTACGATTTCTAATTGATTATAACTTTTTAAGGATATTACACGATCAGATAAACAGAGCTTTGAGCGATTGCCAAACTCAATTGTTGAGAGCCGAAAGTGAGACTCAAAGTTTACAATCTAAAATCGGGAACACTCACAGGGAGGCAAGCGGTTACGAGAGAGAAGTTGCCAGGCTGCAGGGCGATGTCGACGTAATGAAGACCCAGTTGACCAAGATTGATAAGGAGAAGGATGAACTTTTGGTAAGTAAATAGTTATTTATGTACCAAGTCAGCAAAGTGATTATTTATCGAACTAGTTCGAAAAAGACACTTTACTGACATACATTTAAACTTTTATTGACATATTGTAAACATTTATAACCTAAAAAATTGAGATTGAGATTATAACTTATCACATTACGACAAAACTTTTATTGTTTGGAGCTGAGACAGTGACACATTTCTGTTTAATGTCATACAATTATGGCTATGTTGATAAATTTTAGCGGAAGATAAAGTGTTAGATTTTTATAGTAAGATAAAGTGTTTGGTTATTTACGAAAATCGCTATGGTTATTGCATGGCTCTATTGACGGTTGGCGATTTATCTTTTTTTAGATCTGTATTTTTTCTTTTTTTTTTTATAGAATATCGTCGACGATAAGACCGAGAAAATTGACAAATTGGAAAACGAATTGAGAGATAAAAAGAATAAAATCGGCGCGTTGGAGAAGGAAATTAAAGATCTTTGCCGAAAAATAAGGTAAGTGGTTTTTTTATGACACTGTCAGTCAATAATTGTTATTGCTTTAATTTATTAACAATTTTAAAAAATTTGATAAATTTCCTGGTGAAATCACAACTATCCTTATAATACAGAATAACTGTTTCTATAAGGAGAACTTTTTGCTAGTGTTTTTAAATTTGAAAAATTTTTACTTTATAAAAAAGGCGATTTAGATGAGGCTGATAACTGATAACTATACGTCAATATCAACAATTGTTGAATTTTCCAATGTGAGGAAAATTTTGATTAAAAATTTATTTGGAAAAAAAAATTAAGCTCTTACATACCACCCTATATAGTTTTAGAAAAAATATATCTACAATTTATAAAAAAAATAGATCTGCAATTTAATAGCTCTTCTTGAAGTCGCCGAAGATATAGTGGGGGTTCTTGAGGAATGTCAACATTCGCTTCTCACGATGTGTGACCGTTCCGAGGCGTTCGACTGTGTATGCCACAAATTATTGTTGGTGCAGCTTAAATAAAAGTATCATAGGTGTGCTTTTGGGCTTATTAAAATCTTATTAAAAAAAGGCAATTTATCCACTTAAAAGATAATACAAAATCTAAATTGAAAAATGTCTCTCATTGGTGTTATCATATACATCAGTGACTTAAGTTGTAATGGTTTTAATCGAATGTTAAGCCTATAGTATAGGTTTTGTTTGTCCAGTATTTCTTTACCTATATTTGCTTAAAATGAAACTCAAAAGTTTTAATACATTCAACTTCCACCCTGTATCACTGTACACATTCACACAACACACACTTATATTATCCAGTTCTCAGAAGTTTGAAAATATAGGAATTTTATACTTAATATAATATTTTACTTGGTTTCAAAACCTGCTCAACCAACTATAGTACTTAAATACTTCTAAACACGTATCTTTGGGATATACTTATACACCAAAAAAATATATAGTTCATATAAAGAATAAGTTCATAAAAAAATATTAGTTCATAAAACAATATTAGTTCCCAAGTCAGGAAAAATTTAAATTCAGAGATTCAATCATAAATATAAAAGGTTTAAATTTCAGTTTCCGCTAAAAGAAATAAAATAAAAATATATGTAGCGACTATCTCAACCTCACATAAGGTAATATGAATACCGTCTCTAAGGTGTGAAGAAAAAGTAGATACTGCAGTTATCTTATTTCCACACAATTATCACTTTTACCGTCCCTAAGATGTGAGCTGAAGGTTCTCTTTTTTTATATAATCAGTTTTAATTACTAGTAATAAAAATACTTTACTTTAATATACTGCATTTATTTTCAAGTCCCAAAAAAACATACTTAGCAACGATTAACCTAACTTTTCCTATAGCCCTTATTTTTATTTATCGCCCACGTTGGGCGCCAAAATGTAACGTCAGATTAACGTGACACAAAAGTTCGGTTGTCCAAGACGTCAACCTTGTGGCTCCGGTTCACTCTAGTGGATATGGGAGTGGGTGATTACTTTGTAATCTTTGAAAAATACTATATTTTTGATGTTGGGTTGGGCGCCAGGTAGATCTTTTATATTGAGCCTCTTTAAATCCAGAAAAGTCCTACTTTTAAATCTACCAAATAAATAGGAAATAAAAAGACAACCTTGACTTACATCTTGTTTATTCAGAAATTGAAAACCACTTCGTCTTTTCCCTTACCCCGAGTTAATGGCCTTTACAATCCCTGTATTAATTATGTAGTTTGTATCAAAAATGAATACATGTCCTGCTTACATTTTATGTATGAGCCTGTAATAACCCCTAAATCATAAGCAATATATGCAATGTAATGCCTTAGCAGTTACAGAAACTAAACAGGGTTGGTTCAATGAACCCCTGTAAAATTGCCTCACGGTCATTAGCGTTGTATCCAAGGCGAAAGACGTCAGGCGCAATCAAAAGAAAAGTTAACCATACCTAGTCATAAAAATCCTTTAGTTTCTGTATAAACAGATTTAAATACTTAGAGACTTATAATCTAAAATATTACTATTAATAAACATCAATTTTAATAAACATCATCTTTAGGTAAAATACCCAATCCCCTTAATGTTGTATTATATGAACTATACTAAAATTTAATAAGCGTTATGTGCCCCTAATAGCACATGAGCTAGCATATCAATATCAATTTAACGTCTTATAAAATAATAAAATATACATATACATCTACGTACCCGTCGTAGGCTAGTTACCCCGAAAACATACCTCAAAGTAATAAAAATAAAATCTTGTTTCACTTATCTCCTAATCCCTGAAGTCGACAGGCAAAAGATGCCGCCTGTGACACTGTATTCGTACGATGCACTGTATTCGTACGATGCACTGTATTCGTACGATGCCAAATCTCTGTAGTAAAAGCAATTCCCAGTCGAAACACTGGTACCTAACAGTATCTTCAATACTTCAACATAAAACCGAAACGCTGGTTCCAAACACCGGGTACAAATACTGGGTCCGAACACTGGGTCCAAAAACCCTAAAATATACAATCCCTATTCAGAATGGTGTAACTTAATTTGATCTCGCCCAGTTATCTCTTAATTCAAGACAATAGAAAGTAAAAGTGAAATCTTGAGCCACCCAGAGGGTTGAAATTAGTGCCTGCCAGAGCAAGGACTATTCAAGCCAATCAACAAAAGTACCCAATTAAAATTTAATTAGCAAAATTTAATACAACAATAACTGTACCCCACATTCAACCCCTTAATTTACTATCTGAAAGTTATCCCAGAGAGTGTAACTTCAATCAAAACGCAAAGAAATCTGCTAAAACCTTCTTAAAACCAGTGTACCCTTCAATATACGGTCTGAACTACGATCGGCCTTCAATATGTAACTGATAAGAGGGGGTTTGGGCTCAGTCTTTGGACCCAGTGTTTGAACCCAGTGTTTGGACCCAGTATTTGGACCCAGTATTTGTATCCGGTGTTCGGAACCAGCGTTTCGGTTTGATGTTGAAGTATTGAAGATACTGTTAGGTATCAGTGTATCGACTGGAAATTGCTGTTACTACAGAGATTTGGCATCGTACGACTACAGTGCCACAGGCGGCACCTTTTGTCTGTGACATCACGGACTAGGAGATAAGTGAAACAAGATTTTATTTTTATTACTTTGGGGTATGTTTTTGGGGTAACATTCAGCCTACGACTGATACGTAGATGTATATTTTATTATTTTATAAGACGTTAAATTGATATTGGTATGCTAGCTCATGTGCTATTAAGGGCACATGACGTTTATTACATTTTAGTACAGTTCATATAATACAACATTAAGTGGATTGGGTATTTTACCTTAAGAGGATGTTTATTAAAATTGATGTTTATTAATAGTAATATTTTAGATTATAAGTCTTTGGGTATTTAAATCTGTTTATACAGAAAATAAAGGATTTTTATGACTAGGTATGGTTAACTTTTCTTTTGATTGCGCCTGACACGTCTTTTGTCTTGGATCCAACGCTAATGACCGTGAGGTATTAACTGGTAATTTTACTAGGGTTCATTGAACCAACCCTATTTAGGTTCTGTAACTGCCAAGGCATTACATATATTGTTTATGATTTTGGGGTTATTACAATCCTATACATAAAATGTAAGTAGGACAGTGTATTCTTTTTTGATACGAATTACATTATTAATACAGGGATTGTAAGGGTCATTAACTCGGGGCAAGGGGAAGGACGAAGTGTTTTTCAATTTGTCTTTTTATTTCCTATTTATTTGGTAGATTTAAAAGTAGGACTTTTCTGGTTTTAGAAAGGCTCAATATAAAAGATCTACCTGACGTCCAACCCAACATCAAAAAAATAATATTTTTTCCAGACTACAAAGTAATCACCCACTCCCATCTCCACTAGAGTGAACCTGAGCCACAAGGTTGACATCTGGGACAACCGAACTTTTGTGTCACGTTAATCTGACGTTACAAAGTAACTATATGTCAACAAAATGTCTTGTAATTATTTGTACGATTATACATCTTTTATTACTTCTTATGTTAAATTGGCAAACTTGCTTGATCAAGGTGATGTGCTGATAAGTCTTTTTTGTTAATAATTTTTAGCTAAATAAGAATAAAATCAGATCTTAGCTATTTCTAGTAACAATCAGGTCACACTGTGAAATCACTGTAAATTGCTTGGCAAACCATTAAATGACTCTAAATTAAGTGTTCGATAATCGAAGAAATAAGTCAGAAACTATCCAGTATTTGTTTATTTATTTATTTCAATAAAACATTATAGAAAATAAATTCCAAGAAGTATAAAAAAAATGTAAAAAGGTAAGATTGAATAAAACACTCATAAACTAGACACAATATTTCACTAAAAACACAAGTAATAGTTACAATAAATAAATATGTTAGACACCACCGAATTTAAGTGTTCTTTTTAGAGTAAGAACATTAATATTAAAAATATCACAATCAGAAAAGAATTTATAATTTTTGGCAAAGTCGATCAATAAAAGCGTTCCGTCCATAGTTGGTTTGATGTCTTCTTACTTGAAATAAGGAGGTGTGTCGTGTCCACCTAGTAGGCACCAGAGAATCGCAACACATCGTCTCATTCAACAGCTTAAAAATAAGAATAGGAGAAGAGATTGTTTCCTTCTATCTTCTAGGCTGTGTAGACTGCAAAGCAGATGTCTTGATATGGAAACCAAAATTTGAATAGAATATAGCATTTAACAAACTTGCGCTGTACCCTTTGTATCCTATTTATGTGACACGTGTAATTGGGTAGCCAGATTACAGAACAGTATTCTAGGATGCTTCTGACTAAACAGTTGTATAGGGATGTAATAGCCTTGGTGTCGTTTATGTAATGTGAGTGATGTTTAATAAAACCAAGCATTCTAAAAGATTTGCACACTATAGAGACATTATGCAGGTTAAAGGATAAACTTATGTGAAAGATGATGCTGGGATCGTTTACTGAAGAGGAATTTTTTAATGTCACATTATCGACCTTGTAAGATCACCTTGTGCACCCTCGCTATTATCTACACCTTCCATTTTTATCATTTCTATGTCGTTTATTCTACATATTCGGTCAGTTCCATTTTGATATCTATGCTGATTTCTATTTTCCCTATCTTCTACTATTCTTTTTCTCACAACCTCATCTCTACCATTTTTGTACCTAGCTTTATTCATATTTCTGTAAAGTTTCCTACAATTATTATCTTTATTCCTGCAGTTTCCATTATTTTTTCCAATAATTGTTGTGCTAATTCTATCCCCACTACTGTTAAAATGTCTACTACCTGGTGACTTTCCATATCAGTACATATTATGTACATGTAGTTTGTAAATACCCTGTATTTAGGATTTAATAAAAACAAACTTTATTTTATCATTTTATTAAAAAAAAAAATCGCATTTTCGTTGAATTCCTTACAATCTAACTTACACTAACGACTTGGATTTCGGTTCGGTTCCCGTTCAAATATTCGGCCAAAACGACGGCCGGCGAGGCGCACAGAGTCACAGTCTCGTTCCCGATCGTCCTCACCTTCCTAGCGTACCCCGGTATACACTCGCACATCCCCATTCTCTCCTTCCTCCCCTCTCCGAATACCTCCTCCCTGCCGTTCCGTTTCGGTACCAACCAAGAACCCCTTGCGCACGGTCCTTGCGTGTACATCTTATGGCACTCTCCCTTGTACCGAACGAGTCCTTTAGTGCGATCGCAGTACTCGCGCGCCGGCTCGCAGTCTTTGTTTGCGCACGCGCACACGCCGTTATAACTGATCCCGTCCACCGATGGGCGGGTCTCGAAATCGAAGGCAACGACGCGATTGGCCGAGCACGGGCCGCGCGATCCGATGCGATGACAGCGGTTCTCGTCGGGGAAGTACAGGCTGCCTCGTTCGCACGGTTGACGGATGCACGTGGTGGGATCCAGCAGGATTTGTCCTTTGGCGCAGGGACCTTTGGTGTACAGTCTGTAGCAGGACGTGGAGTTGAGGTATTGGACGTAGCCCGGTTTGCAGCTGCACGTGGCGTGGATGTCGTTCGAGGTTTCGAGGATGTAGTGCTGGCCTTGGGCGCAAGGCCCGATTGTACCTAGAAATGGGTAAAAATGTTATAATGGATTATTTAACATTAAATAATACTTCAACTAATGACAATCTTCTTTTATTCTAACATACGTCAATCAGAACAAACTGTATCCGAAAACATGTTTTCACTCAATCCTGTGAAACGTCAATGTGCAGTTTTGTAAAAACATGTGACGAAAAATTGACAAAAATCATTTTGGTGTAAATATATATTGTAAATAAAGAAGAAATAAGAAAGAAAAACAAAGCAAATAGTTGGAAATATATCCAACTTATTTCGTTAATATATCAGGCTAGCCCAGCACAAATGTTGTTCATAAAAGTTTTGTTAATATTGTTAAATAATATTTCCAAATACCACGAGAGGTGAGAATTGTTTTTTTACAAATTATGCAAATTTCCAAAGAACAAAATGTTTTCAAAAATTATTACCTCCTCCGATATTGGGGTCTATTCTGTAACAATTCCTTTATATTTAACGGCCTTTAAAAATATTGGCGGCCTTTAAAAATATGTTCGTATTCGTTAATTTACTTCTGTCATTATTTCAACAGATTTCTTTAAGATCGTCCTCTAATGTATTTTAAAGATCCGTTTAAATAATGACAAGTAAAGAAGAACATATTTTTAAAGGCCGTTAAATATAAAGGAATTGTTACAGAATAGACCCCATAATCCTTGAAAATACAATACAATGAAGTGTATAACAACGCATCGGAATTTTTAATTATCATTTATATAAAAACACAAAGGTCTTTTATTTTTTAAGAAAACCTTTATTTGTCCGTTCAATATTATATTTAGAAGGAAATAATATATGTAATAAGAGACTATTATTGGTTATTATTCGCGCTCAAATCCGGCTAATAGAATAGCTACAGTAAGAATGTAAGCTTTCACGGCCGGTGTCAATGTAATTGTTTGTTTCCGGGCTATTATGCCGTGGTCTTTCTTGGTTATTACTACCAACTGCGGCAGCCATCTTCAGTGGCGTGGATGAAGTACTCTTCTCGACATATCAACTGAAACTGAATTCTCCTTCGCTGTGTGGTATTTATATGCGTGTCTACGCGCTCTTTTTTGGCGTGACTGGTATTAGGCGGTTTTATTTTCGCACTTGTTAATGACGTGTGCCAGATTCTAGGTAATGTTTTTTCTTCCTTTCTATTAAAGTTCTTTTGATCGAACACTTAAAGAGTATCAAGAATATCACCTTGGAGCTTAATGTCAACCTAGTCAGCATTTGACATCATCTCTTTATTCTCAAATGTGCTACTCGAAGAAGTAGTCAGCTACATAGGGGAGTTTTTTCCAGAGCCCATCAATCTTTTCCGATACTCGCTCACAAAATCATTTTTACCGTGGAATCAAACATTTTATGATCAAATTGACAGAGTCGCTATGGGCAGTCCACTCAGCAGTCCACTGCTGAAAAACAACCAAAGTATTGGTTGAGGTATGTAGATGACACATTTGTAATCTGGAGCCACGGGAGAAAAGACCTCCAGAATTTCCTAAACCGTCTGAACAGTTTTTATCCTAAAGTCCAATTTACCATGGAAATAGAAGAAAACCAACAAATTCCTTTCCTAGATGTGTTAGTCAGTCGAGAAGACAATAAACTAGGCCACAGAGTACTTTTTAAATGATAAAGTTTTCTGTGAACTATTAAAAAAATATATTATGGCTTATTATTAAAATAAATAAAACTTCACTAGTGCTTGCTTACCTAGTTCGAAACATTGTTGTGTTTCTTTGTGATAATTGGGTAAATAACTGTGACATCCACACTTTTTGTCTGGCAGATACAAGTGACCCTTTTCTAAACATGGTCCTTTGGTGTAATGCTGATAACAAAGCCTATCGACGTGTCTGAAATATTAAATTATATTCATAAAAAATTTAAAAACCAGCTTTAAAAATATTTAAACTTATACCTACCTATAATTTTCCATTTCTTGGTCATCGCATTTACACACTGGAATTTTACCGTTTTTCTCGACCGTCAGCAACTGACCTTTGGGACAAGGTCCCCTACCGTATCTTTGATAACACTTTCCATCTTTCGGCCAAAACAACGAGGTATCGTCGGAAGAGCAGGATTTCATTTGCTTGCAAGTGCCCCATTGCCGCTTGGAACTGAAAAAAAAAAAAATATCCTCAGTGTATTTCAAAATATTACTATGTTAGTTGATTGTATTACTTTTCGCTTTTGTATTTCGTATCCGGTCCAAAATAATATCCGGGTTTGCATGGTCCCGACGAAAACAGGTGATAGCAAGCTCCATCTGTCGCAGATTGAGCTGTTTGGGGAACGCACCGACACTCTGCTGACAGGTTTTTGCCGGATTTGCTCAGAGATGGCGTCAATTCCATGCCGTTCGCGCAAGGATGGCCGACCTGTACAGAAATACGTTAAGTGAGAATCATTTATTGAGTTTCATTTATTATTATACTTTTTAATCACTTTTTAAAATTTTTTAATCTTTAACAACTCCTGAAAAACTAGAAACATTTATCTAAGAGGATGATGTATACAGTTATCTAGTCCAGTGTCTAGTAGATTTCAATGTAACTCAAATCACTGTTAGTATTTCACAGATAAGAAAATACCTTACCTGAAATATTTTGTAACATTTTCCATCTGGTGGCCAAAATAGTAGTTGCCAACCTCTAGGGTGTGATGCGCACGGATTCAGCTTTGGATTTGCCCATGGCGGTGCCACCACAGCTGCTTTCAAATATGGCACAATAGAGAGCAGAATTAACTCCAATTGAAAAAACCATATCTGAAAAAAAAAACCGAGGTGAAATCATGTTTTACTCTATTTTTAAGACCTGGGGATCCTAGTATAGTCTCCAAGCCATGAAGATGGTGTTCATAATTTTTGTTTAAATTAAATTTTTTGGCTAAACGATGGAGTAAAAAATACGAGAATTGGGTTATTTTTACATGACATAGACAAAGTAAGGTAATAATTCGTGAAGTTGGTATCTCTTTCTAATAAAAGTTAATACAAATCCAAATGCGGTCGTTGTTTTTATTTTAATACCTGGAAAAATATAATTGGCTATAAGCCATGGAGATGATGTCCATAATTTTTATTTAAATCAACTGTTTCATCTAAAACTTTAACAATGGAGTAAAAAATACGAACATTGGGTTATTTATTACATTAACATAGGGTAATAATCCGTAAAGATGGTGTCTCTCTCTAATACAATTTAATGCAAATCATAATTCGTGTAATATTTTTAATTTTAAGGCCTGGAGCAATAATATCGGCTATAAGCCATGAAGATGGTGTCCATATTTGTATACTTAAAGTAACTTTTTTCGTATAAAACGATAACGATGGAATAAAAAACACGATCATTAAGTTATTTATTTCATTAACAAATAAAAGCAACGTAATAATCCATAAAAATGGTATTTTTCATGTAAAAATGATTGCAAATTCAAATGGTAGTGATTTTTTAATTTTAAGACCTGGAGAGATAATATTGGCTATACACTATTTATACTAGTAACTTTCAATACTCTCTAAAATATTGTAACTATCACTTTTATGCTGATGATACGCAAATATACTTTTCTTTTAAATATGAAAATTTAGTAGAATCTTCTAATTTAATTAATAGTGATTTAAAGAATTTAGCAAAAACCTCGTCCAATCACCTTCTAAAATTAAATCCACTTAAATCGTCTGCCCTACTATTCTGTAAGGAATCTGTAAGAATTGCAGTACAAAACCAGATGCAACTAAAAATAGAATCTGAAATCATTTCTTTTAATAGCAATGGAAAAAGTTTGGGACTAGTTGTTGATAATAAGTTAAGATTTAAAGACCATATCACATCTAAACTAAAACTGTCATATTGTGCACTAAAAGCAATTTATCCCCAAAGACAATTTTTGGATGTTAACATAAAAAAAAAATTATGCGACTCACTTATACTATCGCTGTTTGATCATTGTGATACAGTGTATGGTTCATGTCTCGACGCTGCTGACAAAGCCCGTATTCAAAAAATCCAAAATTCTTGCATTAGATTAATTTACGGCATTAGACGTAGGCATAGAGTAACGTATAAACTTAAAAATTTGAAATGGCTTAATATGCATAATCGCCGAAAAATGCATTTTGCTTCTTTTATATTTAAAATTATAAAGTTCAAAACTCCAGCATATTTACATAAAAAGATTAAATATCGTACTGATGTCCACAATGTAAATATACGACGAAAGCAAATGCTTACCATACCTTCCCATCGTAAAGAAATATTTAAACGAACATTTTCATACAACGTGGCAAAATCTGCAAATAATCTAATGGAAAATAATCTTTTTAATATCACACTTTCTCCAAATAGCTTCAAAATGAACTACAAAAATCACCTACTTACTTTATGATGCTAACTCTTATTGTTGTATTGTCCTTATCAATTTTTTTTTATTATTTAGGTTATCACAGATACATTTATTGTTATTTTGTTCTTATATTATCTGTTTTTACCTTAATTTTAGCGTGTTTAGTATTAGTATATTTTTTTATATGTCTCTTAAATAAGATTTTTTTTCATTTATTGTTAATTCAATGTTTGTTATTAGTTAAGAATAATCAGGCTTTAGCGGAAGAACAGACATTTTAGTTTAAAAGACTTAAATGCACTGAGCTAAATGCCATTTACTCAATGTTTCGTGTATAATTTATTTGTTATGTTTACATAATACTATTGAGTAATAAACGTATTTATTATTATTATTATTATTATTATTATATGCCATAAAGATGATGTTCTGATTTTAATTTTAATCAATTTTTTGGTCTTAAACCATAATAATAGAGTAAAAAATATGAACATTGGGTTATTTATTACATTAACACAAAAAATAGTGTCTTTCTCTAATAAAAATTAATACTATTCAAATGCATGTGATTTTTTTAGTTTTAAGACCTGTAAATGGTGTCCAAAATTTTTATACGAATATATAAGTGTGTTTGTTTCTTAATTTAATGAATAAATGCAAAATGCTTATAAAATAAGAGATATAAAAATAAAAAACACTTTATTTACTAAACATGCAGACCTGGCAATAATAACTTATGAATATGGTGTTCAACATTATAAAACAATGACAAAATACAAAAGGCGTCTATGACATAAGTTTTTTAAGATCTGAAAAATCAGTATAACCTACACGCCATGAAGATGTCCAAAAACTTGATGACAATATTTTTTTATTGAATAATAATAATACTCTCCCTAATTCACCCCCTTACGAGTGAATTTTAACCCCAAAAGCTGAGCTTGTGCGGGGAAAGGGACGGCAATTATTATTATTTGCCGTGGCGCTCCGGGGAGACTTAAAGATGATTGATGGTGCCATTTGACTCACAGGTGAGGAAAACCCCACCCACCATCATCGAAAACGGTAGCGCATGGTGATTTTTATTTTAATAATCTGGATGTCATATCAACAGAAATTAAATTTCTGCTAATATGGCATCCATCAAAGCCTATAGAGAACCATGCAAATATGAATGCCGCGCCGTAGACTCCTACACCACCGTAGTCGATGGTAAATGACAGAATGCCCATAAGAAATAAAAACAATTTGTCACGCATTACATTTTGTAAACCTGTAGAATAATATATGAAGGTGTGGTCCAAAATTTGGATACCTAATAGTGTTCTGCTTGAAAATATTGATGAATCCAAGTAGCGTGTGATTGATTAAATTTATAAACCTGGGGGAATAATAGTGATTGTAAATCATGAAGATGCTGTTAAAATTTTTGATCAAATTAGTTTTTTTTCTAGTAGTGTACGAAATAATTAAAAAATAATAATGCATAATACCAAAATACTAGCTTATATAATAAATTCTACACCTGGAGAATTAAAACCTATGACGATGGTGTCCAATATTTTAATAACTGCAATATTTTTTGTCGAAAACGATAACGAAATAAAATAAACGCAATAAAATGATCACGCAAAGGTATTTCTCAGAGGACGAATAAATCGACTTTTATATTCACTCTGCTTGCCTGAGTACAGGGCTATGCGACCTGATCCCTCTTCTTTATATACCTCATCTACGTCACCAAACCAATAATCGTCAAAATATCTTCTTTATGCCGACGATACTGCTCTGCTCTCGGAAGTCCAAAAATATTCGGAACCAGTATTCATGTTGTTGAAGCAGATAGAGGGTCTCTCTGAACCCACTAAACACTCAATTTATGATTTTTAAACATCCACATTCAAAAGGGACCTACTCAAGGTCCACAAAACGTTAACGTACATCTTTTAAGAGAGGTTGACTATTTGGATGTACGATTTTCGCACACCGTTAACTAATTTCCCAACATCGAACGCACCCTTGTGGAGATGCGTCGGCGAGTCGATCTCCTTGGAGCTTTGTGTGTTCATTTTGGCCGATGTAATACTGAAATCCTAATCCTTAATTATTTCTTCAATCGCCCCGTTGCTGAGTACAGATCAGTACCTAAGGTACACTTCCTACTCATCAAGCCCACAAATTATCCTCTCTTGAAAGACGTATTCTTCAACGATGCCGATATTTTACTTTTCGATTCCTTGAAAAATGTATGATAACATCTCCAACAGTCCTATTCTCTTTAGTTTCAAAATCCTCAGGAAACAATAATCATAGCTCTACTGTAACATTTTATTTCACCTCTGCTTTTATTTCAAATTACAGTCTCTCAAAATTGTGTGTAATTTGTTAATTTTAACGCCTTGTACCTTAAAAACTAGCCATATGATTTAATAGGCCCATGGTTATATTTGGGCTTGAGATTAAGTACTAAAGTATTTCCAAAATTTATGATGTTCGATTGATATCCTTTTTACATAAGAAAAATCCTTTATCGTCCCTGATACAATGCATAAATATAAACTCGAGAATGCAGTTCTAAAACGCCTCTATAAATTAAAAACACTGCAGTTTCAAAGTGAAATGTACATAACTTTAAATTTATCGAAGCTTTCTAAGTAGTTATTTTTTGCATGACCCTTATAACCGAGTTTAAAAAAAAAACGTGAATTGGTTTGGAACATAATAAATTGTTTTTGACAGCGTTTAATTTACGATCCCACAGAAAGTATCTTTTACATAACACAATGTAATGACAAATCGTTAATTACCCGTTAGTTGTTTAATTAAATGTTTGAGTTAATGAGTGGAGAAGTTTTTCATTTTTCACATTGACATTTACGCGATTTTATTCATGTTCGTAAAGGTAAATCGTTCTGTAAATCGTCCATGGTATTCAATTTCTTGATAATCTCCTCAAATGCCATTAAATAATTGAGGAAGTACAAAATTGATTAGTAGTCGTTTTATGAAGCAATAATAAAAACATTAACGAAGTAGGTATGACAGCAATTTAAATTATTTATATTATACCTAATACAATGATAATTTTTTATCTCATTAGTCAGTAGAGGCAAGGTCGTCCAAGAAGGTGGTGTCATCTTAAATAAAAAAATAACAATAGAGGATAAGAAAATTGTTCCTGTAGATGACGTACACATTTAATTTTATGTAAAGTAAACAAGGTCAACAATTAGTTAATTTTATTTTTCGACATAATCTTCCTTAACATCATTGTCACTACAAAATCTTCTTCCATGCAAATGTTTTTTATGTTTCGGAACCAGTCTGTAGTCGCTGTAGGGTTGTCATTTGTCCCTGTACACCGGGACATGTCACCGGTTTGGAATTTCTGTTCCGGTCGTCCCGGTGGATAAAAAT